CAAGCAAAGATAGCACACGGAGCCAGGTATTTGAGCGAAAGGAGGGGGAGGTGGTGAGAGTTAAGGAAGAAATCAAAAGAAGCAGGAAAAAAAGCAACACTAGCAGCCAACAAATGGCACTCAGAGAGCCAGCTAGTGCGGGCTGGTGTTTCTCAGACAAGAGACTGTGTCCACGGGAAGCAGAGGGTGCCGAGTGTGGGTGAAGAAGGGTAGGCAGTGGGAAAGCATATGTCACAAACTACTGGAGCTCTGCAGCCCCTCAGGAAGAAGCAAAGACGGCGCACAGAGCCAGGTATTTGAGTGAAAGGAGGGGGGTGGTGGTGAGAGGTAAGGAAGAAATCAAAAGTAGCGGAAAAAGCAACACCAGCAGCCAACAAATGGCACTCAGAGAGCCGGCCCGTTCGGGTGTGTGGAATCCAAGCAGCCGGTGTTTCCCAGTCAAGAGATTGTGGCCGCGGGAAGCAGAGGAGGCTGAGTGGGGGTGAAGAAGGGTGGGGGGTGGGAAAGCGTATATCGCAAATAACTGGTTGTTTTGTCTCCCTCTGGATGCTCCGTGAGGCTGCTTTCTCGTACCCCGTTTGCTGGTCTCTGATAGGAGTCCAAGATGGCGGATCTGCGCTGCGTTAGCTGGTAGGGGACCTCTGCATGAATCGCTCCTCCCTCTCCGTTTTCTGTCAGTTTTCTCACTCCATTTGGTGCTTGGCTGAGTTCTTTCTCTCTTCATTTGATGTTTTAGGTTTCAGGATTGTTGTATTCTCTGTTCGGCTTAGTTAGTTTTTCGGATCTTTGCTGTGGAGGGACGGCGTGGTGCTTCTGCCTAGAGCGCCATTTTGCCGGAACTCCTCTGAAAGTACTTCTTGTAGTCCTGTTTTTCTCCTTGAGCACTAGCCGCAGGCCCAAATTTCTTGTACCATCCTTTGATTTCAGATTCAAGTGCACTGTTGGCCTGCCGCAGAGCTCACACCTTGTCCAGGTAAACTGCCAGATGACCGTTTAGGTTTTGCATTGTGTCCTTCTCATTACCAGAGAGAAGCCCACTCTCATTTCCTCATGAGTTACTACCTCCAAAGTAGTGGAAAAACCTCCACCAGAGAAGCCAAGTAAGCCACAGTTTTCCCCTACAATTCTTCCTCTCCCATGACCAGACCCTAATTGCCATAGACTTGATTTGGGGGCAGAGTATGACATGATGAAAGAGCTTCAACTCTACAGAGCCCAAAGCCTTCAAAGAGAGTGTTAAGGTTGTTATCAATGAGTAAGTGCTTTTATGGCTGGTAAAGTGGGTGGTTCATGTATGATATAATCACTTTAAGGACTTTTAATGGCATCTGTAATATTAAATAATTTTTTACTAATTATTAAACTTGGTAGAGTGTCTTATTTATTTAAAGGCACAGAATATGCCTTCAGGTATTTATTATCTCACACTGGAGGAGTGAAGCAGATAGTATAAATATATCATGTAAACATGATACCAACCTAGTTAAATTTTATATTTTCCTTTATGGATTTCTGCCCTCACACATTTTCCACCATTTTCATGGCTGTGTTTATAACAGTTTATTTTCTTTGGGAATTATATGATGAATAGGCCATTTTTTTCAGATGAAACTATTTGAAACCAATTCTAGGGATTTCTGGTGAAATAACAGAAAGGGGAAGATCCTTAGCTTACGTAGCTTCAACATTAAACACTGGGAGTATTTAAGATTTAAATACAGGAAAATAGTCATGTTCATTTTAATAGTCTTCAGTTATTTATTTTTGAATTTTGTCAGTTATAAGAAAATAAAATAAAAAACCTTTCTCGAAGCCTGCCTTGGAGTTTCAAAGTGACTAGTGATACCTAATATTTTTTTTCTTCTTATTTTATGAAACTGTAGGACCTCACAAGAAAGTTAAAGAGAAACAGAGGAACTTTTAATATAGTGTTTTGGCTTGATTTAGTATTAAATAGCTAACTTGTAAGTTTCTCCAGGTAAACCTCTGTAGTGAGTGTCCCTTGCTCCTCTTGCAGTTAAATCAACGTCTGCAGATCCCGAATTGTAGCGGAAGTTCTAAGGTTAGAAATAATGACCAGGATATGCTTCACGCCCCCCATCCCTTATTATAATAGGGGAAAAAACCCCATGATTTCCATAGTTCGAAATTGATTTTCTTCATGTTTGTTGTCAGAGGCAGTGAATAAACCCACAGGTTAATGGAGGATCTAACTATTTGTCATTTATTTTTTAACACAAGCCATCGCACTAGAGAAAGAATATTTTTTGGCAAATAAACTTGGTGTCAGTTGATGTTACCTCTCTGCATGGTCTTTACCTAATTTTACTTTAAGGGAAAGTTTGAGTCTCTTCCTGTCTTCAAACATCCTACTCGTTAAATAAACATTTTAGAAAAATTTTATTAAAATGGAAACAGTCTAATATTTATTAGAATAAAATATTCGAGTGGCATATTTATGAAAAATAAATGTCAAGCTGATTTCTGTTATTTTTAT